TAGGCCCTGGCCACAATGTAAAGCCTAAACACAGTTTGAAACACAGTATAATGAACACTTCTCTACAGTGACTTACTGGAGAAACTGGTTACAGTTCATAGCAGTAAGCATGTTCATGAGTCCCCCGCTGGGGGGAGTAAAGCGGTATACAAGTGAAATAAATAAATAAATAAGCTCTTTCAAGGAAGATAATATTATGTTTTAATAGAAAGCTAGACGTTCCTTCGGCTGTTAACTTTATCTATTCCCCTAGTGTGTTGAGTAGTTTAGATATTTTAGAGTGATATTACATAGAGATCAGTAGCCAAATCAACATTCCTGTTTTTATCAACAGTTAATGGTGATTAAGATGTTATACAGTTTATTTCTAAGGATGCTGTCTTTGAGTTTCTTTGAAATAATGATTTAGGAAAGTAATTACTGCTACTGATACTAAATCAAATGTTTTAATTAACTGACATACCTCTGAGCTTTACATCATACCTTTCATCTCTTTCATGACTGTTTTTTAAAGTTCTTCTGAATTTTTTTCAAGGACCAGGATTACAGAACCGGTCTCAAAGATGTAAAGCCAAGCAAGCTGATTCGACTAGAAAGAGTGCCTGAAACAGCCACAAAAGATGATGTAAGTAGTATTTTGTTCTATCCCCTTCCTTATCACATTAGCAAGTAATTAGGATTTGTGGTTTCTACTGCATTATTAAACAGGTTAAGTATTGCTTATCCGGAATTCCAAAGTTGTCCACACTGATGACTAGCATGCTTTTTGATGGTTAAATGTACCCAAACTGTATTTAATTCACAACATTATTTAAAATTTTCAGGCTATGTGTATAAGGTAAATTTGAAACAAATTAACTCCATGTTTGAGTCTTATCTCAAAGACATCTCATTGTGTATAAATACTGTATTTCCTCTCATAATAGTAGCCACCAAATAATAGTCATACCCCCATTTTGGGAGTGGCAGAATTGGTATTTTTGTGGTTGTACCCTTTATTCATTTGCCTGTGCCCTTTCCAGCTATGAGACTTTACTTGGCTGGCACCAAGTGAAGCTCTGCATAATAGTCACCACCATATAGTAGTCACACCACAATTTTTTCTTCAAAAAAAAAAAAAAGGGGGGGGGAAGTGTGATTATTACATGATGAAATCTGGTGTGCAAATGCAGGTATTCCAAAATTACCCCCCCCCCCCCAAGCATTTCAGAAAAGGGATACTCAACCTGTAGTTGCATTTGGGCCAGAGAGAATAGTCTTTCTGTGTTGCATTGTCAGTTTATAATGTATGTTTTGGTTTTGCTTCTGTAGATTCTCCATGCTTTCCAAGCAACTGCTGGATTCCCTATGAAGAATTTGAGATTAAAAGATTATACTACAGGTGAGGTTTTCAGTGTATATTTCCATTTTGTGGGTTTACCTTAAAGGCTCTAAAACATAGGTCTCTTTGTCGGCTTTTCTTGCTTACATTCTAATTACTCATTTATATATTTTTGGAGTCACCTAGTTTCCTAGCTCTTCTCTCAGATTTATCAGGCACGGGCTTAACAAATAAACAGTAAATCACCTGTGCCTCTTTTATGCTATTCATGATACACCTATGAAAGATGTAAAACAAAGCTCTTACAGGAAAAAAAAATAACTGATAGCATTTTTCTCCCTGACAGGCATTCTTTATTATGTTCTTTCATTGAGGCATTTAGCAAGCTTTGCCTAAATAGGTGTTTAGAGTTTCCATTGTATCACTAAAAGATGCATCTCTTTTCAATATCATCAAATCTTGATCGCTCAATTTGGCTGAGTAATAAACTTTATATAAAGGATTTTAGTTGTTATTTCAGAGGATGTTTGTTTACAGCATCCTGGCTTAACTTCACATATTCCTAACTGGCATCCAGATGAATTCTATAACGGAGTAATTAGCAATTTTCTGTGCGGAAATAAACTATGCAAAGCTAGGCAGGTAGAATGGAAAATTCAAAGTGAACTAATGTAGGAGGAACATGGAGAGGTGGTTTGGAAATATATCATTTTCCAGTGACATAAATCTCCATATAGATTTAGAGCCTGAAATATCTAAATATTTTGTGTAGCCTGTTAATGCGTGCCTCATCACTGTTACTCCTTGTTTTCTAGGAAGCTAAGATTCATTGGTGTCCAGTAACTTCCTTACATAGCTACAGTTCGAGTGTGGTCACTGGGCATATTCACACCGTTTTTTTCTTTTCAGAAGCTATCCTCACAGTACTCCTCAACACACAGCTTTCAATATTCCTGTGTTTGGAATCAGTTTGGGGAGTTGGTGTAACAGCAATTTAAAAGGGATTTTGAAGTAATTCTCATGTTTTGGGCTGTCCCATTAATGTTATTACTTTTGTCGTAAACAATGGGGCTGTTCAGATGTAACACCAAATTATGGTTTAGAGTTCTCAGCATAAAACCTATGGTCATGAAAAGTCTTTCTCCCTTGCATGTGGAAATCAGAAATATTCAGTTACAATTGATGACAAAGTATAACTTTGTTGTTGAGTTCAAATCCAAAAAAATGCTTTGTGGAAACCATATTTGTCTGGTATCTAACATTGTAAACAATGATCTGCAGTGTTGGGAAATCGCTGGCTGAAAATCATGGTCAGAAGTTTCTAATAGCTGGATCTGTGAGGATAAGAAAAAGTGCAAGCCCAAGGCATGGCATCAAATATTTTCCAGTACTGTCTGAATAGCTTCAGTGTGCATGTTCTGTTGGATAAAAAAAAAAAACATGTTTATTAGGAAGAGCATACCTTTATTTTACTTCATTTTTGTTTTAAGTTATTCTTCATATGATATCTATATGTCTCAGTGGCCACTAAGTTGTCCTATGTGATATTTTCTAAGTGGGGTGCAAATCTGAAGAAAATTCCATATGTGTTCCTTGGATTAAACATGATTTTGCTCAAATGTAAGACTTACATGGCAGAAACAGCTACACACCTATAGTAATTCATTTAAATATTTAAATTATAATGTTGAGTACATTCCAACCGAAAGAGTGTGTGATTTCACTCTTCCTGCTTTAACTTCACCATGTGTCCCCAAACCTAGCTCTGTAGGGCTTAGAGAATCCTCCAGGGCCAGTAAAATAGCAAGAATAACTAAAGCATTTCAGGTACATGAATTTTCATATTTTTATGATGTCATAGAATGTCTCTTTACAACTAAATGAAATAGAAATAAAATACTGGAAAATGTTGCTTGATGCTTTAGAGAAACATGTTTGGAAGTAAAATTGGAAATGAATAGAAATTTAAACATGAATACAGTTGTCTCTCCGAGATTCAGTAATTTTATCATCTCAGCTAAAGCAAAACACATTTTAGAGGAGTTTTATATACTGTATTTCACTGCATAATAGTCACACTCCCCCCTTTTCTCCCTTCAAAAAAGGGAGGTGTGAGTATTATGCAGTGAAAATTGTGAGGCCTACACTGTGGACCTCTCCCTCTGGTGCATGGGTGAGCAGTCCTGTAGCCTCCCTCAACTGATGAAAGCCAAGGAAAGCCTCCTATCTCACCCTCTTGCACTTTCACCTGTCCGCATGCCTGCTCCTCAGAGGTATTGGGGCTGCTCCAAGGGGTAGACACAAAGAAGGGTGTCAGAATATTATGCAAGGAATACAAAAAAACCAAAACCGGGATCCCCCCAAAAAAGCTGTGACTATTATGTAATGCGATGAAATATGCGTATATATAAAAAATAGTAGGGAAACAGAGCAGATCTTGAGAGAAAATTCATCCTATTATCAAGAAGAAAATACCTCTGCAGATCCACTTTATGAACAAACAAGCACATTTATAATTGTCTGTGCATAGAAAAACTGTACCAGTACATATATGTGTGCTGGTGATTAAACGTGCCAAAATGTCATGAATTTTTCCGTTATTTATATCCCAAGGGTTGAATTTCTTCACTCAGTGAAGCTCTCTCTTGAGCCTGAAATGTGGCACAACCATCCCCACTGGCTCCAGAAAATGCAGGGGCATTCTTAATAAAACCAACACTTGAAAATATGGGGGGGTGGGGTTGTATTGCAGGGTCTTGTGGGCCTCAAATGGCCTTGTGGGCTGCATTTTCCCATCCCCGCTGTACCGTGTTTCAGAAAATGTTAGCTTATGTTGTTATCGTGACACCCCTGAATAAAACAGCCATTTATTTCTGTTACATGCAATTGGGGGGAAGTTTATATAGTTGGCTGATATTCACCTATTTTGTCCCCACATGCAATTTTCCATACGTTTATTCCTGATGTGGGAGAATTTTTTTTATTTCTGTGTAGTTTTCATTTGAGGTAGAATACATTCTAATTTTTTTAATAATATATAATAGTGTGCTTAAATATACATGTCTGAAGCTTGCCGCTGCTCTTTGTTGTGATGCATAAACAATAATTTAGCTTGATATCTAAACATGACTCCTCCGTAGAGGAACCTAAGCTGGATAAACTCAGCAAACTATGGTTAACGATGTAGCATTGGATAAACAAATCACCTGGGAGCTAGAACAGAATGCTACAGTAGATCTTCCTTCTTAAAGAGAATTGTATAAATGAAGATCCTACTCAGATCGTCATGCAAGATATAATGCCAGAATGTGCAAATAGTACTTTCTCTCTGTAAATTGTAATCTATCTATAATTTTGGTAAAATATATTTAATTGCAGAAGAGGCCTGTTGGATTGGGGAAAAAGCCAATTTCTTGTAGGGGCCAACCAGATTATTTTTGTCTTGTATGCACAGAATTGGGATTAGAATCATTCAGGCGTCCAGATATTGCTTGACTGCAACACTCAGTTTCCCTCACAAGTAATCAGGATAACTAGAGCTGCTTGAATATGTGCCTTAACAGCATGAAAAGGGATGCATCGTTCTCACTTCCAGCACAGAGGCATAGTCCACAAGAACTCTTTCAGAAGCCCTATAGCCAGTATGCCCAATGGCCAGGAATTTGGGAGCCGAAGTCCAAAACACCTGGAGGGCCACAAGTGTGACACCACTGTTTTAGATTCTTCAGGGACATACTAAACCCAGATGTTTTACCATTCAGCGGGAGACTTCTCTCATGTCCCCGCATGAGAAGCTGGAGTTGGCAGAAGAGAGCTCATGCTGCTCCCCAGATTCAAACCACCGACCTTTTGGTCAGCAGGCCTGCCGGCACAAGGGTTAACCCATTGTGCCACTGGGGGCACCTGTTTGATAATATATAGTGTATTTCCTTTTTCGCTCCTATGAACGTTCATTTACCTTCATTGAGTAACTGTGAGCTCAGTCATTGAGTTTAATGGCAAAACATCTTCACATAAGACATCACTCTCTATATTTATATATCAGGCGTGCCTTCTTTTTGATGGCCCGCTGCACCCTAGATGTCTTATGTTTTCTCATCTTTGAGTAGTAAAGATTAATTCACAATGAGTTAGTACATGTGTCTTTCGCAACATTTAGTTTTGCTACTCCGTCTTGTACTAAAAGTGTGGTAAAACATAACATAATACAGCTGCTTCATAGTTTCTTAGGCAAAAGAGCTGCTTCATAAAAACTTGTTTTGTCAGCAGGAGAAAGGGGGCTCACAACAGTTTGATTTGTAGATAGTCACTTTATCTTCTACAAGATACCTTGATGAAATTGATGACAATCATATGTGCAGCTGATTCTCCAGTTCGAAGGTTTCTTGTGGTTTTCGGCTTGGCTATTCCAGTTACTTGGGTGGTGGTGAGGGGTTCTGAGAAAGTGAAAGCTCAAGCAATTTTCACACTATTAATAGAAGATTAGATTGGAAATGTTATAGAATCTTGCAGCTTGGTACTATTTTGACTGTAAACAAGTAGTTACATCTCATAATAGTTTTGACATTACATTTTGCATTTCCTTCAGTAGCCACTAATCAAAAGTAGGGATGAACACACAAGAATCTGCTATTTGATGATACCCCAGTATGGGCATCTATCTCTACTCATTATAGAGAGAGAAGGAATTGTTTCCTTTGTGTTCTCTGGACCAATAGATCAGATGTACAGGCATACTATGCACAGGCATAATTTAAAACAAATTGTTACTGCTGTGTTGATAGTTATCTCTTGTTATAGATAAATGAACAATGAGATATATACTTAGATATCTTTGCTTGTTTGTTTTACAAATATGAACATGTATGCTGGATTCATCAGATATAGCACCTATTTTGTTTTGTAGAGTTGTTGTGAAAGGCCATCTGTTGCAATCAGGACAGTTCATAATGCTAATGCATGGGTTTGCTGTGGAAAGATTGGAAGTATCTGAATAAATAAAGCACTCAATACACATGGTTCTTTTCAATTTTGTGATATGTTATAGCAATGCAAACTAATTCTTATAATTTCAGTCACAGAAATTATAGGTGTTCCTCCCTGCTTTAAGTGGCACATCTTGATCTGAGTAAACTTTGTTTTTAATCTAGGCGGTTATGAATCTGTAATAGCTTCAAAGTTGAGGGTTTTTTTATGTGCCCTGCTTAGCTAAATTTCAGGCAGATGGATGCATTCCTTCTTGAAATTCCTTTCATCAGAAACAAATACATTTTTTTCTAAGTGTGGGTAATGAATGATCCTTCTAGGGGGGAAAAAGATGATAAATAACTTCAAGAATGGTTTGGCTCTTTAATCTGGACTGGTTTTAAAGAAAGGATTAATATATTTTTATAATTCTCTATAAATATTTGTGTCTTTGAACTGCACTAACCCTGTTTATTAAAAGGGATAGGGTTGGTTTTTTTTATATTGTACAATATCCTTGAAACGAAATACATTTCCAGAATTTAATGCTGTTCCAACCACTGCTGAAAAGATAGTATGAACTAAGAAAGTCCTTCTTTTTCTAAGCGTGCTGTTTTAAAAATATTGTTCTTGGCAGCAGATGCTTATCCATTTTTTAAAAAAACACACCATGCTTTTTAATAGGTTGAACATTGGAATGATTAGTGTTTCCTCGATTCTGTGCAAATACACCCTTCACACTATTGATCTTTTTTTAATGGAAGTCCAAATTACGCAATGTACTGTATAGATCCATAAGAACTAAACAGGATTGTGCGTTTCTTGCCAGGTACCATCAAACCAAAGCTTCATTTGGACCTGAGTTTTAAATATTATCAGCTGCTGCTTTTATCTTGTTTTGTGGGAAGCATGGTGGGGTGGTAGCTGGGTGTATGCTGAGGGGAAATTAGGTACTGAAAATAATGGCTTTCTGGCACTAACGCAAATCCCGTCTGTATTTAAATGCTGTCCCCAGGTTACAACTATGGCTATATCTGCGTGGAGTTTTCCCTCTTGGAGGAGGCCATCGCCTGCATGGAAGCCAACCAGGTTGCTTTACACTTCGGTCGAAAATGCTGCTAGAAGAATATTTTTGTGGGGAGGGGGTACACCTAGCAACGTTTTTGAAATGGAGGCTCACAGGAAGGATTTTTATTTTAAAATGTACAGCATGGAAATTTAATATGCTGATGTTTCCCAGAACTCTGGAGAGGCTTAAGCTTAATATTTCATGGAAAGAGTATATTTTTTGGAAGAATCCGTCCCTCGAGTTGTACACCCTTACAGGCAGGGCAGCTTCTCAGTGCAGTAGTGAAGAATACCATTTCCAGTTCTGGAGATTGTCCTTGTGTGTTAGGGTGTATCGTGGCTTTCAGGTACAAGGAACTGGTAACCGCAAATGTTTCTCTTTCTTCACTTTGTTCAGTAAACCGAATCTATACTTCTTCTAGGCAAACTGATGATATATTTGAAAACACACATATGCCTCTTATATCTGATTGTTCAGGCTAGACCCTTGGTATGCAGCTCTGAATGAAAGAAACTGTGTATATGCCTCATTTATTCCCGGTGGATATGTACGGGGCTTTGCCTGCTTCCTTTCATATTCATTTTGCACTCCAGGCATGATGGAGCTGCTTAAGAGAGGTCTGGCCAGTTGTTGATGCGCCTGGTTAATTTGATTTCTTTAGAAATGTTGTTCTCATTAACAACAAATTGTAGCGTGGACTAGATTTTTAAAAGTAAAATTATAATGAAAAATATGGAAAAATAAATCAGCCAATCTTACATAATCCAGTTGAGTTTTAACTTCGACAAATTGGCTGTTGTCAGTTCTAAAGTAAAAATTTGGTTTCATACTGAACTTGGTTGCATGAACCTAAGAAAACAGACTAGCTTTCTCAATAAGTGTAATTACACTTGTCAGATAAATGTTCATCCCCTTTAAATATAGGATGAATCCCTGAAGAAAAAAAAATCATTTTATTCTGGGAAAAAGCCAATATTATCTCCCAGGATTAAATTCTAATTTTCAGTGTCCTGTAGATTCTCAAAACCATGGCTGAATGTGAATCAAGTAGTCAGATAAGAATTCCTTTGATTGATGGTAGTTTTTTTCTGGGCTATAGCAAGTTTTTTCCATCATTTCCTCTCTTTTGCATTCATTTTAGTAAATAGCCCATTCCACTCAGAAGATAAAATAAATACAAAATTGGATTCACTAATCATCTTAAAAACATAGAGTAAAAATGAAAAAAGTCCTCTTCTAACCTGAAACCTTTTCAAGTAGAAAGGTCTTGAGATGATTCATAAATAAGCTTAGGCTGGGGACAGAAATGTGAGCTTCCAATATATGTGTAAATGCAGGAGCAGTGGGGTTTTAATTTTCAATATTATATACATTGTTTAAAAGTTAAAAACTACTCAACAGAAGTCACAGTGGGTTCAGTCCAACACCTCCTCAGCACAGTGTTGTGTAACACATGTCAGTGATTAAGTGATGTTGTACGATGCATAATGTGCAGCACTAATGCACCATGTACAATCACAGTATGCTGTTTCCATCACTATGAGCAGAATAAGACTGTTGCAATATGATGAAAAAATTGCCCTGCATACATAATCAGAGATATGCTATTAATAGGATGCCAACCAATATTGGTTTCCCTTGACTACTAACTTTTCAAGCCCTTGGATTGTGACTTTCAAAAAGCAAATACTGTCCAGTTTTGCTTTCAGTAGTGACATATTCAAAATGTTTTTCTTAATGAACTGACCAGCAGATATTTGTTTCATAAATTCAGCTAAGTGCCCCACATCATAGCCTGGAAGAGTTTATTTTTCCCTTTCTCTGTCATTTATATTATATCAGTTTAGCCTTATTGCCAGTAGTTTGGCAATTAGTTCAATGTCAAGAAGAGGGTTTGTGTCACTGAAGCAATGCTGTCAAAGTGAGGAAAAAGAATAGGGAAATATATATATTTTAAGGTAACTGAGTTTTAACTACAGTAGAGTAGCTTAAGCTACCCATTACAAAATGAATCACTTTTACAGAAATCATTACTATTCCTGCAGTAATAATTTGGAGAGGCATAAAAATGGGTGGCGATTAAAATTCCAAATATAACTTACATATTACAGCGTGTGACCAGGCTGGCCTTCAGTCTGTTAAATGATGGCAATGTGTGTTTATTCTGGATATTGGGAGAAGAAATTCTCTTAGATAACATTGTTTGAAAAGTCTCCCTCTTCCTTTCCAGCTGGTGGAGGGAAGTGTGTACTATTTTGGCCCTTCAGAGTTTTGTAGTCAAAACAGTTAAAATGCCCTATGATGTTTGACTAAAATACAGTACATTAATAAACAGACTTGAAATTGATCTATTGTCAGGCAAAATTAGCAAAATCATCAAAACAATAGGCCGTTCTGAGTCCCCCTTGTGGGGAGAAGGGCGGGATAGAAATATACAAAATAAATAAATAAGTTAGGTCTACTAATTTTGAAATGGCTTAGATCAGGAGTATTAAACTCATTTTTGTCAAGGGCCACGTCAGCCTTACGGTTGCCTTTAAAGTGTTGTTGAATGGAGACTCTGTGGATACAGAGAGCCAACTATAATTATTTTACATAGTGGTCAGTGCACTTGTGGCTCTGACGTTGCGCAAAGGTTAAAGGGTATTTTAAAATCAGGCATCATATCCACAAGTCTTATATCTAAATATAAACCCCACTATCATGGCTAAACAGAACAAACTGCAGCCTTCCAAGTGTTACTGTATCTCAATTCCCATCAGCTGTAGTAATGAAGTTGGATGATGAAGAATACAGGAGTTGTTGACCAGCTTTTGGAGGGCCATGTAAAATTACATGGTGGGCTGAATTTTGCCTGTGGGCCTTCTGTTTGACAAATGTGCTTTAGATAATCATTGTCTTCAGAGGTATATATTTGCAAATTTAGGAACTTGTGTCATACTATAGCATCGCCATTCAACAGAGGGTAGAAAAATTCAGCCAAATTGATTGATGTTTGTGCCTTTACAGCAGAATATGTCTTCTGATATACTGAATTTATTGACTTCACTCTGTGTGGGCTTTGAAAGGTTTTGATAATGTGTCTTGATCCTTTGGTAGCCTGTTATCTAGGTTTTGAGATCATTTTTCTCTACTAATGTGGTTACTATTGTAACTGAGAATGATATTGCTTCTATCTTTCTTATTAAGAGGAGGTGCAAAAGTAATTGGATGATTATTTTTCTGGTTGAATTGCTTCCATGGACTAAATAAATTGTTATCACTAAAATTATTGCACCATTGGTGACTCAGTTCTTGATACATTTGTATCATGAAAGCAATCTGACAGCCATACTGTGATTTCTAAATTTCTAAGCTAGAGGATTTCTAAATTTCTAAAATAAGTGCCAAGTTGGAATCTGGTGTAGTTTTTCACAGGACAACTAGGTGCACAAGAGATAGCAGATGTGCTCTGTCTTTTGCACTACCATTTGCACAGCAAATACAGAATAACTATGTCACTAGTTTTCTCTCTGGAAACATTGTACTGACTAGAGCTGAGTGTACATTTTTTTCTCCTTTCTAGGAGTCTTTCATTTTTGGGAGATTAGTTCTCAATATATCGTATTTCATTGCATGATAGTGGCACTCCCTCCCCCTTTTTTTGTGCAGAAGGGGAAAGGGTTGTGTGACTATTATGCAGGGAAATATGGGTGTGCGCTGGTGGGCAAGAGCTACAGGGCCCCATAGCTCTCCCTGGCAAGCGCACAGGCAGGTGAAGAATCATAGGCCTACGCTTCTGCTGGACAGCTCTTGGAGGTCTTTCTCGGCTGGCTGCAGCTAAGAGAAACCTCCTAGTTCTCACGTCTTCACCCGCCCACACACCTGCACCTCGGAGCTATGGGGCTGCTCCAAAGGGCAGGCATGTGGTCAGGGGTGTGACTGTTGTGCGAGGAATAGAAAAATACTTAAACTGGGACCCCCAAAAGGGGTGTGTGACTATTAGGCAATGGCGAAATACAATGAAAAAACTGTACTGGCATATAAAATATTTATCAGCTTGAATGCTTATGAGCTTTCATTTAAGTAATCTGATTGGAAATGAGGGAGACAAATAAGGTAACAGAATGTTTCTTATTTTGGATCTCTTTATGTGTTGATTTGCAGTTTTGATGGCCTAAAGGTTCTGGCCTCAAAACTTTCAATATGGCACAGTAGATTACATTGTTTTAACACTTGCATATTTCTCAGAAGTGGAGATAACTAGTGACTGATTAAAAAATGAAGGATGTTCCTAATATGCAATGGCAGATATCGTGTGATATGGCATGTATGGTGTGATTCTAGTGATTTCATTGCCAAAATATATCAAGGTGTAGGCCTATTACTGGAATATGTTGCAGAGTTGTTTTATTGATTTGTATTATGGAATCTAGTTCATTTTGGCAATAATTTTTATATTTGGGAATATACATTCAGTAAATAGAAGTACTTAGAAATTTTAGTGCATTGTTCCTTTGAAGTAACTGTCTTTTTCTTACCATGTTATTGGTTATAGTTAAGTCATTAGGATTTGTTAGAGGTCTTTCAGGGAGAAACATTAAGAACATGTGAGGGGTTGGACTCGATGGTCTTTGTGGTCTCTTCCAACTACAATTCTATGAAATGTAAATAGAGTTCTTAGTCTACTAAAGAGATTTGCTTCTTGTTGTCCGTCAACCTATTTTGAGTATTGAGGGACAGCTGGTTTGAGCTCTTGTTTCTTAGACAGAAGATGTTACAGCCAATAAACTTTGCTATGAGGTATTTGTTAATTGTCATCATAATGGGACCCTGTAGTGGAACAAAAATGGCTCTTTAATTTTGTTATCCTGTAATGGTGCAAAGTGTATGCTCTTGATACACTGGGAGATAGTCTCCTCGAAGAAAGGTGTTAACTTGCATTAGACTAGGAGGAATGAAGATGTGGAGATCTATTCTGTGCTGATTGGTGTGGTGTCTTGTTTACGTGACCTTAGTTTATGGCAGGAGTAATTGGGAA